TTCTTGTTTCTGCAGTTGTAGATGACTGGGAGGACACAACCATGTTTTCATTCTTGGATGTCAGAGACAAGACGTCTGTGGTGGCTAAGAGAATGAAGTATTTGACAAACAACGGTGAGCCATTAGAGTCACAGCTTGATTTCAAATCATGTCATTTCATGTCACACGTGAATTATTTAGTTGTTTAAATGTTGCCATTGAAAGGTGAACCTGTATTTATGAATTTGTTTGTTAAAACAAATGGACACATTGAAATGGGTTATGTTTTTTCAGTACATATATTTCTATCTCTGGAGTATATGCCTGCTTCTTAAGTGCCAGTTTTATTCACTTTTATAATCTCTCAAAATGTGGAAATATTATCCAGCACAAGCTGTTCTGATTTCGCAGAAAACACAATAATATGTGTGAACGAGCTGGGCGGAGAACACAGTGGCTCGTTAGCATTTAAAGCTAAAGGCACTGAAGCTTGTTAAATGTGTGTGGAGATTCGAGCTTTGCCCACTTTTTAAGTTGTTTTAAACATGTTACAAACATTTCATTTAGATGTAAAGGAACAGTATCAATTAAAAAAAAAAAAAAAGAATCTTTGACAATTTTACTGATCTATAAAAGTCCAACTTCTACCGTTTGCCCGATCAGACAGACTTAATCTCCAACAAAACATTTTCTGGGGCTGTTTACTGTCTCTATTCCAGCAGTTTTAATGCCAATAAGAACTGCGTCTCACAGCTCCAGCCTGATACCCCTGATAGTGTTTGGTTTCTGATACAAGCTCTGATGGCTGATTGTCGTTCCTTCACTGTGGATGAGCTCAGTGGCTGCTGCTTCCACTTAGAGGAATATAACCTGACTGTTGACACGATTCTCCCTCTCTATACTTATCCCTGAGTCAGATGTCTTAGTCGCTTTTACTTCTTGCACACAAAATTACCAAAATCTCTCTCCCACTCACTTGTCAACGCAGTGGCATATTTTCCTCCTCAGTTATAGTCAGAGTGTAGTTCAAGTGAAGATTTTTTTGGGAAATCCTCAAAGTTGTCAATCTTGGTTTTCTCCATAAATAAAGTATGTTAGGTTTTAAGTTGCATTTTTAAATCATATTCTCTGTTTTTATGTCAAAATTATTTAAACCAGAAATAGAAAGTTTGAGACTCAGAAGAAGATTTGAGTAATATTTTTTGTGGGGGAATAATTATTGATGCCAGATGGGATGACAGTGAGCAGCATAACTCTGCATATCCCATTCCCTTTTTTTTTTTAATTGACACAAAGGCTAGAATCAAAAAATGAAGATTTATCAGTATTTATACACTGACAAAACAAAGTACAGACTTGCAGCTGTTGGTAACTTTTCATGTGGATTGACTAGAAAATTATTTTTATTAAAAATACTATTCATGAATTTACTTCGTATCATAGATGAGAATGGGATGAGCACTGTGACCATGTGGGTAGTTGGAGATTTTCAGAAGCCGTCTGGGAGAAAACTGATGCTCAATGCTCTGAAGCTTATGGTGAGTTTCATCACTTCATTCTGATTTCTCATCACTGAGTTTGCAACATATTTGACATTTTATAAGGATTTTGTTCTTAATTGGTTTTAAATTCAACTTTTTATATAGATATAGAGGGATATACTGTAAACAAAGTCAATGTGTTGCATTTAGTGCATTATTTCAAGATAGCAAGTCCTGATTTTCACAGGGAAAACATTTCCTTATTAAGCACCCAGCACTCTTTAATTNTAGCCCTCTTTAATCCCTGCTGTTACTGAAGCTATAAGAATGTAGTTTTGGGGTGTGTGTGTAAGCAGAAGTCCAGCCGTGGAGTGCGTGTTGGGGTGATCGATAACCCCAAGGGAAAGCCAAGCCAAGATAACACTGTGGTGTTCAGGGCTATTTGGGCCTCTCTCTTCACCCAAAAGAACAAGGCTACGGTCGAGTTTGTGCAAAAACTGCTCAAAGAGGAAAGCAGTCAGCTCCTCCACCATGGGACCAAGATGAAGGACTTACTGCTGCAGGTAAAGGAGGGATTATGAAATTAATAGTATTTTTCACAACATGGAAAGGTTAGATTTGCATCTCTTGTACATTTAAATAACGCTTGTAAATTTTACCCTAGCATGCAGCAGTTTAACGACACTGGAGAAAATCCTCCTTGTTCTTCTTTCCTTTCCTTTCTTCCACCATCTGTCTTGTTCTTGTCCTTAAATGGGAACTGTGCTGCTTTTACATCATGTGAAACCCTCTAATAGTTTCTGTTATTTTATTGCTGTAGAAAGTAGGCCTGACCAACCTCTGAATGTTCTTTAATTACCAGTAATCTTTGTCACCATTCTGTTGGTCTTACTACTGCACATTAACCATTAAAGACTTGGTTATTGGTTTTCTAAAGAAAGTAGTTTTGAACATTGGAACTTACTAAGAGAAAAAAAACCATTTCAAATAACAAGGCATCAGTCATTTTATTTGCTAAAAGTACGTTTTTATTACCTCCACATTTTGACAATCAATGTAATTTAATTTAAGTGTTACAGTAGAACAGGGGTTACCAATTATGTGTTGTTGGGGTTTTTCTTCTATGAAGGTTCTATCAAGTTGAGGTTTTATGGAACAACCATCTTGAGCAGGAAAACAAACGTTAGAATAAAAAAAGAGAGACTGATTCACAGAGACTGATGTGTCCCTTGTCTCTGGATTGAAGTGCACATGGAGACAATAGTGATTGATGTCCTGAAATTCTCATTCCCCGTTGAACAGAGTACACTCTGAGCATACACCATTCTGCAAAACATGAGGATATGGAGACCATCAGTCTACTCACTAACAGCTCCACATGATCTATGATGGATACCAACACCAGGCAGCCTCCGCAATGAATGTTTAAGTGAAAATCACTGGTGGGAATCTGCTTCCTAGTGCTTGATGAGTAGCTGGGTTGCTGCTCTTTATTTGGTTGTCTGAGCAAAGTGTGTTTAACCAGGCCTGACCATCAGTCTGCTGCAGAGAAGCAGTTCAAACCCAACAATGTCAGTGTTCTCCTAGCTGTGGTGTGCGATATCCACCCACACTGCGGTGCACATAAAGAAAAAAAAAAACAAATTCTCAGACACAAATCAGCTGACAGAAAAGCCCATACCTCTCCCTTCAGAATAAGTCATACAGCACAGTCATGTTACATTGGGGACCGACCATAACAAACTTCCGCACGGTTACACCAGCTTTAAAACAATGGAGAAGACAATAGGCTGGAAATAGCAATAGAAAGCTGGGCAGGAGTTAGCGGTGTGAGTTGAGACACGGAGTCGAGGGATATGAGTTTATTATTGGCTGCCAGACGGACCTGCTGACAGGATTGTGCTGACATTGGTATTTCACCTGTTCTCCCGAGGAGTGAAATGTTAAAGAAACTAATAACTTGACTCCACAAACCTCCACAAGTTCCCTCTTGTAATTTGTTATGGACAAAAAATGGCACAGGCTTAATTAAAGTTGGTTATATTAATTACAAATTGATTAATACTATTATTAAACGTGCATTTCTCACAGCTCTTTCCTCTCTGGCTGAATTATTAAATGTTTCACAATGTTTCACACTGATTTCACTGATGTAGGGCATCAGTGATATTGTGAATAATTGTGTTGGCTCATTTTTCATCTCCCCACAACTAATGCATCATTTTGACTACCTTTTTTGCTATAGGGCATGGACATGGATGCCTTTGAGAAAAAGTTCAATACACTAGAAGTGGATTTCATTCGCAGTCAGCAGCTTTTCTGTCGAGAGGTGATGAATCTGAGTCCTGGAGAGCAGGCAGTGGTCAGCAATGGCAGGGTGAGTGGCCTAGTTGTACAGAATACAATAATTATAAATATATTAGTTTTGGGCCATATTTAATTAGTGGCCTGCAGAGTGTTAGAGTGTTGTAACTGCATGTCATGAGTGCATGTTTCTTTACTGCAACGTGTTTGTAAAATTATTAATGAAAACAGTCTGTTTAATCCTGCAAGAAAGGAATCCACAGATTCCCACTCCTATACCTGAAGTACTTTATATCAGATGATATTTTTTTCCCACTGAGTTGTGAGTATTACTGTAGTACTGTCCAATACACTTGATGTCTGTTTATGAAGGGTTACAGTATGGTACAAACAGTGCAGTGTATGAGTGACTGTTTACCTGCTATCTGTAAGTGTGTAGTATCCCAGCAGCAGCAGCAGCGATGCTGACAGTTACAGAAGAAGGGACCAGTTACTTAGATGGCAGAAACAATTAATATCATTTTACTTTCCCCTGCTGCATCAGCACAGCCTTGTTCCCCAAATAGAACACATACAGTACAAACACATGACAGAGTACCTTGACTTAAAGTTAACTAAACACCTCTCACAGAAACATTACATTTGACATCCCCTTGCCACTGGTAAATAATACATGCTGAGATCTGAATTTAAACAGTCCTGTTCCTGACTGCGTTGTCTTCTCCACATTAGATCCTTGGGCCATTTGAAGAACAGGAGGAATTTACTGTGGAGGATTTCCACTTGCTGAGGAAAATAACACAAAGTGGTTCTGCAGAGAAAGTCCAAGTCAAAGTTAAACAGATGGAGCTGAAGCCAAAGCAGTATGTTTACATTTGTTCAAGCCTTGTTAGCTGACGTAAATCCTTAAATATTCTCTATTAGGCGGGTTTGTCCATCAGGTAATGAGGAGTTCTGCTACTCTCTGTGGTTACAGAATTTAACCACTGTGGAAGTATGTCAGGTTTTTGGCTTAGCTGTAGCATCATCCCCTGTAGAGGGTGCTATAGACACAGTTAAGTCCTCCCTACAGGGAGCTAACAGCATACGATGAATAGCTAACACTACTCACTTCATGGTTGAAGTCATCGCTGTGTGGATCTCCTTTACGGCAGGAAGAGGGAAACAATTCAGAAAACAGAAAAGGCTGAATTTTTTAGCATAACAGTAGGGATGAACACAAGACTATCTGAAGTAACATAATGACAGATGTCTGATTTTGTGAGCGAGACCCAGACAGGAGACACCCGACAATGGCTTGGAGTCTCCTGCCCAATATGACAGCTGTGCCTAGAAAAACTTTAAACACCATGTGTAATTCTCTTCTACAGAAAGCGAGAGAGAGATTTTAACTTTTGTAGATATTGTTTTTAAATTCTATTTAAAGTTTTTTATCATTCATAGTTTGTTAGTTTTCTATGAAGAAAACTTATTTCAAAAATGTCTGAAGGCAAATGTTTAAAATTTAAAAAGGTCTGATTTCAATAATTAAATTATTTTAATTAATTCAATGTTAAGATGTGGCTAACAGATCTGAAATGGTTTATCTTTATATACCTGTCAAGCAGTGACCAGTGTTATATTTTGTTTGATGAAGCAAACCTATTGAATTTCATTAAGCTTGTGGCAGATTTTTGTTTTACAAAAACGAAAGAACATTTGAATAATCTTTAAATTTCAGTTAGGCAGCGATGCAGGTTATTTTACTTGGTGCAAGGGAAAAGAAATCTCCCTGAATTTCTTCAGAACAAAGTCTTCTTTCAGAATTGTTCAGACGTAAGTCAAGGATATATAAAATAATTTGTGCCCTTGTTCATATTCGGATAAGGCCTGTAACAGATTTTCTGTTTAAGTTGGGCTTCACTGATTCATGAGACTACCTTGTTATCAGCTTGACATCACATTAAGTGAGCTCTGTACGACATCTCCTCCCTCATGTATGTGTCATTAAAAAGTGATGGAGGAACCCTGACTCACCTCTTCTCTCTCAGGGCCAGTGACTTAGTCATGAAAGTTGATGCGCTGTTAAGTGCTGCCCCTAAAGGAGAAGTGAGGAGGGACGTACACTTTGTCAAAGACAGTCACAGGTACAACATCACTCTTTCTCTTTGTGGTCTCTGTGTGTGTGTATGTGTGTTTCGTTCTGTTAAGACTTCTGCCTCCCATGTCTTTTGTGGTATGTAAATAACTTAGAGTAAAGAGATGCTAATAACAGATTCTTCCACGAAATAATTGACTTTATTATTTTGGTCTTTTAAAAATTAAGTTAAATTATGGTTATTTACAAAAAAAATAGGTGAAGTGTTTCGTGCAAAATTAGGACAGAAAACACACAAGTACTTTACAAGTATTTTCAGTAGATCTGATGTCTGGTTATTGTTTTAATTCGACCTGGCACATGCTTTCACAGTTAAGACATCACTGTCAAAGATTTAAAATGCCACAGATAATCACATTGTGTTCCAGCAGACGTTTGTTCCAAGGTCGATGGCAGTGATTGAGAACACCCAATCACCCCTGTGTTTATGCCTTGTTTTAAGCACTTTTTAGGCACAAAAAAAGCTAATTTTCACTTCTTCTGTTGCGATTACAAATGTAGTTCACTCTCATCCAATTTAAGTAAGCTGAGGTAGTAGCATTTTGTGTTTACTCTGCTAACAGTTTTCCCCCAACTAGATTTTGTTTTAAAAAAAATAATAAAAAGCAATCTATCGTCATGCTTTTAGTATCACAGTATATTGCAATATATTGCATCGTACAGCCAGATTCTTCATTCTTCATGACGTAGAATGCTGTTGATAGAAGAAACATGCAGCCTTATAGCGACCTGTTTCCGACACGCTCAATGTGGACCCAGCCCTGATCTTGTGTGAGGTTTTTTTTTTTTCTTACTGCATTTGTTTTGATGTGTTGGTCTCCTCCGCAGTATCCTGCATTTATCACCCCGGGAGAAGGAGGTGGTCTATGAAGTGGTGGCCATTGTTGATCCTCTCACCAGGGAAGCCCAGAAGCTGTCCTCTCTGCTGATTGTAAGCTGCATTCTTTCCCATTGATTCATCAAACAGCTGAAGAATATCACACTAAAACAGTGATTTTTAAGTCATCTTTTTTGTTGCTAAACAAACATGTTCCTTTCTTCTTCGATCTCATCAAGTTCAACCTTTGGTTTTGTTCAAATGTTTTCTGATCAACTTTGTTTGAAAGAGACTTACTAGCTGTCTGCCTCCTCTTGCTGGAGGCTTGCTGTGATAAAGAATTTGATTTGGGAATATATAAAAGTATGAGTCACCGTGCGTTTTACAAGCAGCCAGCGAGCCTGCCAATATCAGTGGCTGCTGGTTGCAGGGTTCTCTTATCCCTGTAAAGTCCCTGTAAAGTCCCTGTAAAGTCATCACATTTGACCAACAGACCTCTGCATCATGCAGGGAAATGCATATTGTCTGCATGTCAGCATTTTGTCCCTGTAAAGTCATCACATTTGACCACTGTTGTGTAAGAAAGTGTTTTTTACTTTATGTGCAACTGCCATCAGGTATTTTAGTTCAATGGAAAGCTCTTGTTTGAATTCATGTCTCTTGTTATGTCACTTCTGCAGGTGCTCAGTCAAGTGGTCAACGTGAAACTGCAGGTGTTTATGAATTGCAGGGCCAAGTTGTCCGAGATGCCCCTGAAGAGGTAAGCTCCTGCCCCGGCATTAATTAAATTCTCCTTTTTGGCTTGTTTGTTTCACACCTTTGTCTGCTGCAAGCTCAGACTCTCAGCTTTGCTCCTTCCTTTTGTTAAATTATTCTGCACTGATGCAATCTGCTTAATAACACAGGCTTATTGCTTTGGGCCTCCTGTCATGTCTCCTGTTAAATTGCTTACAGCGTGTACCTTTGCAGCTACAGTAATGAAGTAAAAACCAGAACAAAAAATAAATTTGAATAAAATGTTGATAGTTCTATTGCATTCAGACCCCAGCATGGGTGTTGGTCATTATGCTCAAATGACTTTTTAACCTGTGTTATTCATTTGAGTAACACTTTTTGGTTGTGTCTATTTAACTATTTTTCATAGTATTGCAGTTATCACGCCTTATACACAGAAGGTCCTGGTTTCAAGCCCCAGAGGAACTACATACTTAATGGAGTATCCTGTGTTGCAAAGACTCACACTGTGAATTTCCCCATTGTGGGACAAATAAGGGATTCATTTTTTTCATTTTCTACAAAACTAAATTTTAGTCAAACTGAAACTATGTTGCCCCTATCTAACTTTATCATTCCAGATACTGATACAGATTCCCTGGCTTTGCATTTTAGCCAAAAATGATTCAATACCATCTGGCAGAGACTGGAGGCATTAGGCATGACAGAAACATTACATAGTACAACCTTGTACAAACAAAATGTAACAAATTACCATATAGATTAGAAAAATCTAATGTAAAATAAAACAGCTGAAACCAACTTGTTGAATTCAAGGGATAGGAAACAAATACAAAGCTTTGTGTGGGTTTTTCTGGGATCCTCCAACATTGCAATATTGATTATATTTGTTATCAGCCTTAATAAATTATAATTTGTTGTGTTGCTCTTTCAGTGATTGTTTTTTAGCTGAATAGTGAATATGAGTAAAAAAAGGAATGTAATATCTTTTGTTTTCATCAAGGCATTTAGTTAAGGCAAACACTGAAACCATTATAACTAAAACCTTAGCTATTGTGTGCCACACATTCGGGGAAACAGTCAGTAAATTTAGTTTTATTAACTCTATTGCTCCTTGTGGTAATTGGCTCATGGAAAATTGATTAGCTTTCAAATGAGAAACATTAAAAAAAAAATTCTCCATAGTCTTTCCATAAACTCTTAATGGGGTATTAGACAACTCAAAATTTCACACTGGCTTCAAAAACCCATGTTCAGTAGCTGTTTTTGACAAAAACATCTCTGTTAAATGTCAGTCATACTGTACATGTGCGCAAAAACAACACTTTCACTCAATGCTCGCCCATAATGACATCACAGGGTTGACACGAAAAGTGGGAGAAAAAACACGTCATAAACTTTATCATGCATCTGACCTCGTTTTTTTCTTTGACAACACTTTTGCGACACAGACTGCTGCTCTTACACCTGTGCCCATGAGCTAGCCTTGTGAAATCTGTACAATCATAAAACAAAAAGAAGCAAAAAAAAAAAGGGAGAAAGATAAGACCATCCCAAAATGTAAGGTATTGACTTTTTAAATCAGATATATCAGAAATATTTTGAAGAGCAAATATTTTCCCTGAAAGCTCTAACTAATCTATTTTATTTAGGCCTCTAGCTTCATTGAAACTGTTTTATCTTGTCAATTATTAATTAATTATCAGGCACTTCATTTTTTAATTGGTTTGATTTTCACAGCTTCTACCGCTTTGTCCTGGAGTCTGATGTGACTTTCCTAGCCAATGATACGGTGTCTCCAGGACCAGTTGCCCGTTTTGTGGACCTTCCAGAGTCTCCGCTCCTCACTCTTAATATGATCACACCGGAGAGCTGGATGGTGCAGGCAGTGAGCAGCCCTCACGACTTGGATAACATCCACCTGCAGGAGGTACGCTGCTCTTTAAGTCTGTACTAAGTTTCAGTCTAACCTAATAATGCATTTTTTTTCTTAATTAAATTTCTTGTTGACTTCTACTTTTTGTTTTTTGTGTTTTCTGCACCAGGTGAACGGTGTTGTGGCGGCAGAGTACGAACTGGAGCACCTTCTACTGGAGGGTCACTGCTTTGACCTTTCCACTGGCCAGCCTCCCCGTGGACTCCAGTTCACCCTGGGCATGAGTCGAGACCCACTCATGTATGACACCATAGTCATGGCAAACCTGGTCAGCAGCCTCTCTTAACTACAAGTGTAATTACTTACATGTTTTTGTTAAATAAATGACCTAGCAGTGTTCACACTGGGATTTGTTTTCTTAACCAGTAGAGCCTCCCACCTGCGCTGTCTATTTCTGTCACCTGTTTTATGAGTTGATAAGAGATATGGGTGTAAACATCACCAAAAATGTTTGTTTGGAATCTGAATTTTTTTAAAAACGAATTGTGAATTACTCCCTTTGCACAGAATTTGACCAATGTGTTTGATCCATCTGGAATCTATAAGTATAGACTGAGTAAGATAAACATTTATTTTAGGACACCCATACGCATATATAATAAATCCTGGTGGGCCAATGAGTTTAACCATATGTTAAACTTATTGGTAGCAATACCTTCATGTTTATTGAAAATATGTTAAGTATACAGGAACCGTAACAGGTTGACTATTGCTGTGTCTCTCTGTAAATTCTGAAGCAGTGTTGGCAATAATTATGTAGCTGCACGTCACCACTGCTCCATATACATATCTGTACCCTGCATTCTGGAGATCTAAGTAAAGATTGTAAATGTAGCTGCTGGTGTCTGGTGACAGGCTTTTTTCAGCAAAAAACTTAAACTGTCACTTTTTTCAACCGCAACAGGGATATTTTCAACTGAAAGCCAATCCTGGAGCTTGGATCCTCAGGTTACGTAAAGGAAGATCAGAGGACATCTATCAGGTTCTCACGTGAGTATTTTCCTGCTCTGTGTTGTTGTTTTCCATTTCATCCTTCAACTGATATGAAGGGAAAACAGTTCAATGTTGTTGCTATTTAGGAAACTTCTCCAGCAGCTCGGTGTCAAGTTTGTTCTCAGCTACCTGGGCTTTTTTTATACTGGTAGCTATGAAACCGATCACTATGGTAACATGGAGAGCTGCTGACACCAGCAGCTCAAGGTTTTGATGAATGCAGGGAGTTCTGCTCAACACAGTGGGGTGAGAGACAGGTAGGAGGGAAGAGACACTATTAAAGAGGAAGACGGAGTGGAGAGATGATTCAGCTGGTCATCTTCCATGTCATCCAACTCAGATGGCAGAATATCAGCTGCAGAATGTGTTTTAGTGAGAGAGAGTGTAGGTGTCATCTGTAAAGTTTTTTTTTTAATTTCACAATGGCTGATTTGATAAGCTGTCATTAAAAGTTGTACATACAAATGTTCTTTTTGTACAAATGTGAACGTCAGAAATGTAAAGTGATATGCACTCAAACTACGTATTTATTCATCAAGTTAATAAAATAATTAGGTCAACCACCATTTAAAAGTTATAACATTATGAAAGAGAGAGTCCAGACTTGACTTTTGAGCTGCTCAGGTTTTTATATGGAATAAACGGGCAAAAATCCCTGCAATGCTTTGTTTTCAAAGTTTTTCTTAGTGTAAAAATAGCATTAAAAAACTAAAACCCAATAGATGTAGATGTAGAACTAATTGTAGTTTTTATTGCGTTTTGAGAATGTTGAACTGCTTTTCTAAATCTGGATTTGTATTTAACACTTTCAACAGTTTGCCCTTTGTACTATAATAAAATATTATATTCTGGCACACTAATAATAAAATAATGTTAAGCATATGTTAAAAGTTAGCATCTTTTCCTACAGATACTTTCAGAGAAGTCCTAACAATCAAGGATATTGTCCTTTCTAAATATTTGTTTGATTTAAGACACATACAGCCCTCAGTTTCCCCAGAATCACTTCAGACAACCAAGATTTATTCCCCAATCCTCCAGGTGAAGCTAAGAGGTGATGTCATTTTTCACCTTGGCAGTGTCATTATTCTTGTGGTTAGCGGCACTCCACTCGGGTTAGGTGGCCGATCAGCTCCTAGTGGGAGTGTCTGCCCTCTCCAGACTCAGGGCCTGCGTTTTCTTCATGTACTCTGTGCTGCCGCTGCGTCTGGACCTGACAACGATGAATGAGACGGCAGAGCTCTGCTCTCCTCAGAGCATGGATACAAATTGATCTCTGGTGCTTTTCTAACACGAGCCCCAAAGGCTGAGTTTCAGCAGTGACAGCAGTGCGAGAGCAAAGCACAAGCAACGCTCGAGCAGTAGAGGAGTTGCACTTAAGGCTAAATGAGGAGGGGTGGGGGGCATTTATCACAGTGATAAGGTTAGGCTTTTTGCCTTTAGTAAGCATTGTGGTTGTAATGGCTTGCTGCGCATCATAGCCCATTGCTCATCCCTTCCTGAAGTTTGCACTCTGGCGTTTCACCAGCAGAGCCCTGCAGTTTCAGCCTGTCAGAACACATTTACTAGTGGACAAATCAGTCCTAAAACAATTACAGTGAAAGGTCAGTGTTGTGCAGTCAATACAGCATGGGCCTGCTCATTAAATCTACCAGTATGTACAGAGCGGCCGAGCAGTAGTGATGAATAAAATAATGGTAAGGTGACTGCTAATGGTGATAGAAGGTAATGAATATGGTCAGAGTGTGACCCTGGCAGCTGTCCCAGGATCAGCTCTTAAGTGTGTGCTCTCACTCTGTCAGTGCTGTCTATTAGCTGCTGTTGTCTTCCTCAGAGAGTGGAGTCTGTTCTTTTTCACTGATTAGCTCAAAGGTTGAAACACATGAGACAACTGCACACACTGAGACGTAAAAGTGTAATTACTATTAATGCCTCAGTATAAAAAGATTATATTAATAACCAGTAGGTCAGACATAGAGGTTCAATATAATACTCAAATACTCTTGATTCTTTATCACATTAGATCTGTCTCAACAAAACCCTCTATGTCTCTTGATTCTCTATCACATTAGATCTGTCTCAACAAAACATAAGGCAATTCCAGCTGACAATATATATAATATTTACTATGGAAACACTAATATTAATATATATATGTATATATATGAGTATATATATATATATGTGTGTGTTTGTATATATACACGTTTTTTAATATTAACTATATGTTATTTACACCTGATTGATGATACTTAAAACTTAATGACTGTACTCATGAGAACCGTTAAACATTTCAATTTTTTTTTACTGTTAAATAAAATAAAGAACAAAAGATTGTTAAAAATCTTGAAATGCAATATAAAAGCAAAACAAAACAAATGATTATAATTAAATAATAATTCAAGATGGTTTAGAAATGAGTAGTGCTTGGATAGAAGAAACATTTGGGACATCTCTCAATTCTTTTAGATTTTATGCAAGTAAAAAATGAATGGTAAGACTGTTCAGTTTTTTTTTTTGTTTTTTAAGGACAATCAGACAACTGAGACTGTGCACTGTTATACACCTGAAACATTTTATATCACTGCTATTACACTCTAAGGATTTTATAATTAAGTAATAATATTAATTCATGTCCTTCTCATTGTCCTCATCTGCAGGCATGATGGAACCGATTCTCCTGCAGATGCTGGTGATGTTAAAGTAGTGCTTAACAGTTTCCACAGTAAGATCATCAAAGTCAGAGTAAGTTTAAAGTCATCCTGTTTATTTTAACATTCTGAATTTGAAATTTAAAAAATTAAGAAGTGTTTAAGTAATGTGCATCTGTGTTTTGTTTTGTCTTTGTAGGTGCAGAAGAAAGCAGACAAAATGAATGAAGATCTTTTAAGTGAAACAACTGAGAACAAAGGGATCTGGGACTCCATAGCGAGGTTTGTTTCCTTGATTATCACATTTTTTGTGGTTGCTGTGTTAAAAAAACCAAAACAATAGCTGAGTGACAGTAACAACTGTGAGCTCATTGATCGACAGATTTGTTGACGTGCGTTCTGTTTGTCAATCACACACTACGGTTTCAGGAGATCAATTTCTTCCCCTGGATCCCTCCTGCGATATTATTCTGTAAGATCTAGTCTTGCAAAAAATATGTGCTTCTGTAGGTATGTGCGTGTGTGCATTTGTGTGTTTCCTGCAGCATTTCCTAACTGTGTGATCCTGTCTCCTTACTTAATGCTTGCTGTATGAAGTGTTTGGAGCACTTTTGAGAAAAGGTAGGCAGTGTGGCTGCAGCCCGTTAATACCTCAACGTCTTTGTTTTACCCATTAGTGTTTAGTGGTGACTCACTGTTTTGACATTAACCAGAAAGAAATGTTCATGTTATATACATTAGAGTGTAATTCTCAAGGCTTGGTAGAACTGCATATTTACAGTTCATGTTTACTGCAACTAGTCTTTAAGGTCATGTTTGCACTGATTAACTGCAGACTATCCTTGAACATGAACATTCACTCTAATATTATTCAGTATATCATAGACCCATATATGATAGCTTTAATTATCACAACAAATCTCATTGGTTTAATATTCTTTATCATTACACAGTTTCTTTTCTCCTTTATATGTGTATCCACCTGCATTCAAACAAATGGCCTTCATTTTGAAATTCATTCCATAGAAAAGAAAAAAAAATATTTGGTTTATAAAGTCTCAGATTCCATAAACATTCACATTAGGGGAACAGGATACCTTCTACCATGCAGAAGTTCAGGATTCAAATCCACACTACAACTTTAGTGGACTCATTCTTATAGCTGAATGAGTGGCTGATACACCATAGTAAATGTATCCATCCATTGTATCATAAGTGTATTGTCACCTTCGATTGGATACTGAACACAGTTATGGAACAAATTACATTGTTGGTATTTAGTATGTAAAGTGTTTTAGACGAGGGCTTACATACTGTACCATATTGTACAGGGCAGATGCTGGACAGCCCCCGTGCCCAAGTTTCCGAGCTGACCAAGGGTAAACCAACACTTAGGAATACTTTTCAT